GATTTAAAAGCAGGAAGATCTGTTGAGGTCCCTATCTACGATTTCAAGTCTAGCTCTCGCACCGGATACAGGTTCTCATTTATAAATGTAGAAAGAAAGAGTTGCTATAATCTGTACTTTATTTAACTTCTTAAACATGTGATTGTAGTTATCTTCATAGACAGATCAATGCTGTTTTGTTTATTTTTATAATTGATATAGCTTTCATTCAACACCTTGAAAGTTGGTAAAAAACTTATGTTCAGTGTTTCAAATTGCAGAACCGTGGAAGTTCCTGATTCTCGCATTGTGATTATTGAAGGGATATATGCACTGAGTGAAAGGTTACGACCATTGCTGGATTTGCGAATATCAGTAAGAGGGGGAGTTCACTTTGACCTTGTGAAGCGGGTTTTACGAGATATCCAACGTGCTGGGCAGGAACCAGAAGAAATAATCCACCAGATATCGGAGACAGTTAGTTTTGTTCCTTGTGTAGCTGTATTAAGCTATTTATTGTGTCCTATTGGCTTTCCAAGTATCAATGCTCTCTTGCTTCTGCAGGTATACCCAATGTATAAAGCCTTCATAGAGCCAGATCTTCAAACTGCTCATATAAAAATAATTAACAAGTTCAACCCATTCACTGGATTCCAGAATCCTACTTACATCTTGAAGGTTGATTTCTTTGCTGGTTTCATTTGGTTTACATTTATGTGTTTTCCTTTGCATTTACTAGTGTTGTTGTTGTTGATTTGGGTTTTTTTATGAATCCTCCCTTTATATTGGAGCATGTGATTTTGCGGGATGCTGATCAAGAGTCATTTTTCCCCTACATCTATGAATGTATAGGTTTCTGAGTCACTTCATTCTGTTGTAGTCAGCAAGGAATGTGGCCATAGATCTGATCAAGTCTGTCTTCCCTGAAGTACACACAGAGACAACAGAGCAAACATATGATATATATCTTCTACCACCTGGTGAAGATCAAGAGTCTTGCCAATCATATCTCAGGATGCGCAACAAAGAAGGAAAATACAATCTTATGTTTGAGGTTTCTGCCTCACCTTCCAATATTTTAATAAATCAATATCTAAATTTCCAAGGATCATTACTTGCATGAAATTGTAGAAATTTGGTTTCCCAAGTAACTGTAAATGCATGGTACTTGGCTACTGTACTGTAACCTTTGGAACCAAACTCTGTACTTTTTATCTTTATATTGTTTGAGATGTTGCTTTCAATGCCAGGAATGGGTGACTGATGCTCCATTTGTTATATCTCCGAGGATCACATTTGAAGTTAGTGTGCGTCTGCTTGGTGGGTTGATGGCACTGGGGTATACAATTGCTACCATCCTTAAAAGGAGTAGTCATACATTCTTTGATGATAGAGTATGTGTTAAAGTTGATTGGCTAGAACAGCTGAATCGTCAGTATATCCAGGTATTGTGTCATACTTCCTATTTGTTCATCTACTTGTCCATCCTTCGACTCTATAGCAGAATTGTCAAAGTAGAGTTCTGTTCTTGCTCGACTCCTCCTTTAAGTGTATGTATATATGTTTGGCAGTTGGATTATTTGTGCGTTATAGTGCTGAATTTCTGTCCTTGAACTGCTCTCGATCATTCTGACCTCAGATGTTTGCTTGTCTCTGAAAAAAGGTGCAAGGAAGAGATCGGCTTGTTGTGAGATGCATTGCTGAGCAGCTAGGTTTGGAAGGTTCCTACATCCCGCGTACTTATATAGAACAAATCCAACTGGAGAAGCTTGTAGATGAAGTGATGGTATGCCAACATATACTATTTATGATTAGTTATATCTATTTCTTGTGAATTTCGTTCATGCTTAGAAAGATGGTCTCTTGTGCAGGCTTTGCCTGATGATTTGAAGACAAAGCTAAGCCTAGATGAGGACTTAGTTTCTAGCCCCAAGGAAGCACTTCTTCGAGCCTCTGCTGACAGGGTCGCTATGAGAAACAAGAATCTCAGAAGGTTTGAATTTAGAGCCGTTTTGGTAGTTCTTGACATCTTTATGCTTCTTACTTTTTCTCTTCTCTAATCATCCCATACCAACCATATATCTTGCTTATGGACCATTGTTGTTGTCGTTGTAGCAGTGGTATGTCACACTCATATACAACTCAAGGAGACAAAAGCTACTCCAAGCTCACTGCAATTCCAGCCAGCAACCGAAGGTACGAAGACAGAAATTCAGAGCCTCAATCAATGCTGGCAAATCAGGTACTAGTTCAGCGTTCTTCACTTTGATTTTTTCTTCTTCTCCAGTACAGCCTAAAGGAAGCTGTGGCTGAAATTCTTGGTTGATTTCGTTTTTCCTTGCCCTTAAAAAAGGGAGTGATTACGCAGCTTTCAGAACAGATGTCTTCGCTAAATGACAGAATGGATGATTTTACATCCCAACTAGAAGAATTAAACTCCAAGCTAACGGTGGTGAATAATAATAGTTCTCCAAGCCCGCAGCAGAACATGGGGTTGCATGGCGGTGATGCGAGCAATGGCTCCGCTCCTACTTCTTACTTTGTGTCTGGATTGAGTAATGGTGCCCTAGCTGGATCCAAACTGTCCCATTCATCGTCACTTTCCCAGCTGGCTAAGGATTCACCACTTCTGGAAGAGGTAACCATAACTGCTCCCTTTTGATTGAAATGAACCTATTGCTTATCTAACTTGACCGTGTAGACAGTCCCTCTTATCACCTAAGTCTCGGTTTCTAGATTGTGCGAGGACAACGCCAAGTCATGCACAAGTTAGATAGTTTCAGCAGTCTCCTTCATGAGGTGACAGCAGAGAGGTCAAGGCAATCCAGGAAAAGAAACAGTCTCACAACACCTGACTTTGATGCCATAGGAGTTCCCGTGGTTTTAACCCTAGCAATTGGAGGTTTAGGGCTGTTACTGTTTAGGAGCTTTCGTACCCTGGGTTAGCAGAGATTAATTGAACGACAATTCTCTTTTTCTTTTCCTAATTTTGATTCCCATATGACCTCGACCTTTTTTTGTCCTGGGTAACTTGTCCCTCATTGAATGCAATGCAATGCGAAACAGAAATCTGCTTCTTCTAGGAAAGTTGTACCAATTTTTTGGGCTTTTGATGAGTAGAGATTATGGAAGGCGGACAAATTGTAAGGGAAGAGCGGTCAATTTTTGTAGCTGGGGGACATGAGAAGCAATGAAAAAATCTTACGAGAAAGTAGAGCTCGTTAGAAGCACGGCTGGAGTTCTGGGCTCTGGAAATTGATGGCTATGTTCTTCCTCTACTTAACCTTCTCTTTTATAGAATGCTCTTGCTCTACTCTACCTCCGTTGTATTGTGCCTTCTTTGTTTACCGACGTTAACTTCTCAGCAAGACAAGCAGTGAAATGTGGTGCCGACTCAAGGTCTGAATCATGTCATGATGTTTTGACTGCGGTTCACGTTCGAAAAGAACTGACAGGATGGAGTCTCACAGTACCCTTCTTAGACGTGTGATGGAAGTTGTCAACTATACAAAATTCTTAAAGATATTTTATCTGGGAAGCGAAAGATGGAGGTTGTTGTTATGGTTTCCTTAAGTACAGTTTCTTCAACCATGATTGCTTGCAAGGGACTTCCACCAAAGATGAGAGATCTAGGAGTTTTCACAAGAGGGTTGTTATTTGACGCCCGCGTATTTACTATTTGCCGCCCGTTTATCGGGCGGTAAATAGCTATTCACTTTCACAATCCCGTGTACTTTTGGTGATAAAACCCTATGGAATCCCTTGCAAGATTTGGGATCAAGCATCAACATCATACTAACAAAGATTTATCATGAGCTCGATATTGGTCCCCTTAGACCGATGAACATGAAGATATAATTAGCTATAATCGGTCGGTGGCAATGCCTAAGGGTGTGGTGAACGTCTTGGTGAAGTGTGTTGATTTCATCTACCCCGTGAACTTTGTGATAATGGACATGGATGGTTTGTAATGAGGTACCTATCATTCTTGGAAGACCATTCTTGGAACTATCACTGACGTGAGTGCCAAGCAACCGTATCACTTTGAAGTTTGGTTAGGAGGAGATTCGTTACACTGTGACTCCAATTCCTTCGTTTCACAAGTATTATCAGTGGGAAGATATAGCTAAGTATTGTGAGTCGGTAACTCCTACCCATACACCACCCTCTAGTCCAGAAATCAACATGCTCGAGGTTAGGGACGGCAATGGGTCGGGTCGGGGACGGATAGTGCATATCCGTTACCCTACCCAAAGTGGTTAGGGTTTTACCCATGCCCATACCCACATGTGAAAAGGGTAGAAAATCAAAATCATGCCCATACCCGTTCGGGTTTCGGATATCCACGGTTATCCATGGGTAATAATTTCTCTTCATAACTCCAACCAATATGTTAACATTCATACGTATTCTCACATTACGTAAGAGGAAAAGTACGACAATACTTCACGAGAATGAAGAAAATTAATTAAAACAACACAATTTCATGAAAATATTATATTTATATGATAAATATAAAATATGTTAGAGAAAAATAATGATTATTTCTAGACAAAATACATGTGCATGTGTATAATCGGACGGGTTCGGGTTGGATAGTGTGAAACTCATGCCCACCCATTACCCGTAATATTCGGGTTCGGGTTTTACCCATACCCACTAAATGTCCTTCGGGTTCGGATTTTACCCTACCCGATTAGGCCGGATTCGGGCGGATATCCACGGTTACGGATATTTTTGCCATCCTACTCGAGGTTCTCTTGATCCTTTTTCTAATCAAGATCAATTACCATATTTGAGTGCGGTCAATTCAATTATCGACACCTTAATTGCTTAAGTCACGAACTCGATTTAACAAACATGGGCCAGGATTCTAATCCAAATTGAACTGTTTCAAGATTGTGGCTAGCTTGAACCCAGATGGATCAATTTCCACTTGAAAATAGTTGGCATCCAATTCAACTCACTCGACAACAAAGCCGTCGAAAAAATTCGCAAAAACCATTAGACAAGACAATTTAAGCCAACGAAGTCATCCATTCAATGAAAGTGATGCAAGCTAAACTAGGATATACAGGATGAAGCAATTGGGTGAACATAACATAGGGGAAATACTTAAGCTGCATTGTGTAGTGTTCCAGTAAAGATATTCACACAATCACGCACCAAATATCAGAAGCAAAGAGCTGAAGAACAAATAGGGGAAACAATGAACTCACTCGCTCCCCATACCTCCCCAAAGGTGAGATCTTCTCCCTCTGTTCTTTCTTTGTCCATACGCATATAGAAAATGGACTTAAAAATGAATAATGGGGGGGCGCTGCAAATCCAAACCTGATAATCACAACCATTGCCTAGCTAAATAAGTCATGCTATTTTATTGCAGAGGCTGTCTGCCAGCAGCACTCCCGAGCTACTCGCTTTCTGAAGAGTAGGCATCATCCGAGCTGTCGCCATCTTCATCCGAGAAATCGCCTGAGTTCACGTGAGGGTTGTAGGCGACATAGTTGACTTTTCCTTTCTCTGAGGCTTGTGGCAAATCCATCAGTTGTGCAATAATCACTATTTCGTTATAGTCCGGATTGATGATGGGTTCAACAGTCATCTCATTCAGCTTCGGCGAATTTGCCATCACAAATTTGATAAACCTCATTTCAGAGTCGTCACCGTGGAATGACCTCACCCTTGCATTACACAATTGGTCCAAGGAACACGTGGGATGCTTATCTTCTTCCCAGAACTCTAAAACAGCAGCTTGTGCAGCTTCATTATCACAGCTACAGGCCTTCATGAGAAAAAGTGATCAGCAACAGCTTCTTTTTTTTTTTTTTGGTTCTGTTTAACAGAATTCTCAAGTAACAGAATTATCAGACAGCTACCTAGTTTTACTCCACTCACCTTAATCTCAAGTAATTGCAAGTTAGGGAAGCATTGAATCAAGGAAAGAAGACACGAGACTTGGTCCATCTGCTTGAAGCAGAATTCATCCAATCCAAGAGTTGTAACATTGTTGTAACAAGTGGAGACCTGAGCCAGTCTATTCCCTGCAGCCAAGAACTAGACAAAAGAGCCAAACAGCAGGGTGAAAAAAACGGAAGCAAATTTCTCAGCAGAGGGAAGGGTTTTTTTTGAAATGTGATGTAAATATAGATGGGGATAAGTTGCAAGTTGATACCTTCTTAAAAGGACACCGCACGTAGAGCTCCTCAATAGCAGGAGGCAGTCCACGGATTATGAATCTTAAATCGAAGTTGTTCTGCTCAGACACAATTCGGTACATATTTAAAGACAAAACAGCAAGAAGAGGAGTATTGAAGCACATGGACTTGAATTCTCCACCAAAGCTCAAGTACTTAAGGTTAGAAGCGTTGATATGAAGATGATCAACGCAGCTCAATTTCTTCACGATCAGTGTCTCAAGCTGTGGGCAACTAGCCAACAGACTTTCAAGGGCTTCTTTTGATATAGTTATTTTCTTAAGATCAAGGTTCACGAGATTCCTAAACCCCCGAAAAGTACATGGGGGTCTGAACAGAAAATAACGAAGGGTCAAGTGCCTTAGTTGTTCGCAAAAGAACAAATCCAAGGGCACATCATGACGAGTACCCCTTTGAACTTTAAGGGTGAGTTCTTGAACAGACTTTCGGGATAACCGCCACATCCATGATTTCATATCGTAGAAAAACTTCACCGTGCCAACAGAAAGCGAGCAAATCTCGATGTCTCCAGCATGTTTGGTCAGAATATAAGTGATGATGCCCTCAATCTGCGATTGCATTCTTTCACTCAACATTTTCTCCTCAAGTACAATACAGGACACTGTATGCCATTTTTCCTTCCAATGCTTGGATAAGCAACTTGTCCTCGCAGCTTCTTTTGTTGACAAACATGATAAAATGTTATCTATCACATTGCCTGGAAGAGAGCTTAATCTATCTATTGTCGCTGAACTAGGACCGCCAGTCTCCATACCAGCTTAATGCATACAAAATCAGGGATTCGAACTGCAACAAAATGAAACCCACAGGATCAGCGTTTCGGTTAGAACTGAACCTCAGGTTCTTATCATTGCTGAATCTTGGGCAGACTATATAAAAAATCCTCAAACATCAACACATGGAAGCTAAACATAGATTGAATGGAGTTTGAAAACATCAGTAGCCTAACATGTCAATACGCTATGTAGACAGTGTGTAGTCTGTAGATACATCAAAAGGGCCATTAGACAACCTTCCAATCAGGATATTCCATGCAAAATACAGGCATTTAAGGAGACAAAAACACACCTTTCATCAATCAAGAACAAACCCAACAAACTGCAAAGAGCAATCAAACAACTCAACCACACGAACAGGGAAAAGAGAAAAAGAACCCCAAAAAGATCAGTACAATGAACGACGATTGTACTCGGAACCCCACAATCAATCAATTGCCAATCACGAGAAAAATCCCAAAGATTGCAAGTTGATAGATTCCCAATTTCACAATCGCATAACGAATTCGCAAGAGAAGGAACCCGGAAGATCACTCCCTCGGCGGCGGGGCGAATTGAATGGGGTGAACTGGCGAACACCCAAATATCGAAAAGAGGAACGACAGGCGAACCCGTAAAGGAGGGTGGAAAGAATCTTACATCTTAATAAAATTCAGAAGAGAAGAAATCGTTCAGCCGCTTCTGCTTGCTACTACGAACAACGAAAAGCGAATACTGAGCTTAGCTTTGTGCTATTGAGATTGGATGCTATTGTTTCTCGGCTCGACCGTTCTGCGTTCTGTTAAGCTACTAGCCTTTTAATTAACAGAAAAGTCCACCTCCACTCCTCCAGTGAGTCTACACCCTTTTTTTCCTTTTCTAATTTTAGCGTGTCTACACTGGTACGCGCAAATATGGCTCACTTTACTGGGTTAGTACTGCCAGAAATACTAGCAGCCCAATGGAACTTCGACACGACGAACTTTCCTACTGTGAAACTTTTCCCGGAAAATCAAATAAGTCCTCCTTAAGCCGGAAAAAGCAAATCTGAACAGAACAAGGCTAAGAATTCAAGCCTAAAACTTGGAGGAGAAGGTTTTTACGGGAACTTAGTGGAGAAGTTAGAGAGTTAGTACAATGCTAATTACTCTAATAATCATTCATTTTTTTATGTTGAATCTGACGATTATTTGTAGAATGAGTGTAGCACACAAATAATTTTATAAAAGTAGATAAATAAACATGATAAATTATGGACCGATCATATGGACTTGAGTGTTAGGCTCAACTTGTTGGTGAAGCCCAAGTATTTCATGGGATGAACTTATGCCCTTATCGAGTCGCCTTCAACCTTGGATGGACAAGGTAATGTTTCTATTGAGAATGAAACACTCAATAGAGAAGAGTAGGAAGTGGCACACACACATGATGTTTTGTTAACCGAGTTCGGCCTATTGCTTTATGTCTCGACTCAAAGGTGGCTTACCCTTTGATACTTCATGTATTGATCTTTTATCTTATTTCAACCTAACTCCAAGTTGAGTCCCCTTGGGGGGAACTTATACCTTTGATGAGAATAGAGCAATATACATCTTTCTCTCTTCCTCGCAAGCACTCATGCTAAATAAAGAAACTACACAACCTCATAATCACTCAAGTAATATAGATAGTGAACTCTTATCGCTTCTGACTCCTATTTCTTATCACAGTGTTTGTTCTTGCTTTGTAGGTTTGCTCTACTACATTTTGTAAGGCTTGTCTTGTTGCTTCCTCCTATTAATTATAGTTCCTTGATGTAACAGTCTTCTCTTGTTCTTTACTTGATTTGGGAGATTCTTTCCTACAATCATATATTTGTTGATACGGCAATCAATAATATAAATTTACCTTTGCAGAAAGGGAAAGCTTTTTCATAACAATCTTCCTCTGCTTTTCTTTTTTGCAATCTCGGGCCTTTTGTGTATTAGTGTTGGAAGTATCAAAACTCCTCTTTAACCTGTTATCTCCCTTAGTTTGTCGATTGTCGAAGTACTAATACACCAGAGTATTCATACTGAAGCAGATCATTAGAGAAAAATACAAAATAACCAAACTAGTTTGCATGTTTAGACTATCGAGTACAAAGCAAGCAAAAATTTCTAAAAGTACCCGAGTGCTCAACCTAGCAGTTCCAGAGCAAGCAAAAGAAAAAAAAAATTGTCATAGGAGTTAAAAAGAAAAACTTCTCAAAATTCAAGTTCAACCCTCTCTCGTCACTCGACCCTCAGTCATATTAATTGTGGTAGTCATAAGAAGCATATTGTGGTGAGTTTGGATCGGATCTGTTGTTTGGGGAGGTCGGCTCACTAAACTCTGGATTGCTTCTATTTACTAGGGAAAACGACTCGTTGTAGTTAGAATCTAGGTTGCTCTAACTCCTATCAACTAGGGAGGCTAGCTTACTTGCTTCTAATGCACCATCGTTGTTCAGCCAGATTACTTTAAGATCTTCTGCGTCAAGACCACCTTAATAGGAAGCTCCAAATCTTGAAAAAACATCATCGCAGTGGGAAAGAGCACAAGAGTAATGACTCGAATGGTTGAGAGAGGGATCTCAAGATTAAGAAGAAAATGAGTTATCAAAGTCCCAAAGGGTAGTGGGCATGATAGTTAAAGTCTCCAAAGGGCATCAGGATTCTAAAGAGAAGATGGGTAAAATCAAGATGAATGAAGGCTACTGATAGCATCATATTTGCACACTCGTTTCTTGATCATTTTGGCTCAAATTTGTGCTTTCTTGGCCTGTTTTATGCTAGGTTGTGCTCGTATGTCCCATTTAAAGTCCTAGCAGGTAAAGGAGGCTTAGGCGCAAGTTTCGAGTCGTTTGGAGATCGTTTGGTGACTTAGGAGGCAAAACACGGGCGTCCTCTGCCTAAGCACGCATGTGTTCCATCTGGCGGTCGTCGGTGTTTATTTTGTCGCGTGCTTTGGTGATCAAGGATCAAAACAATGGCGTGATCCTCCTAGAAAACGACTGTATTTCATCGACGAGTCGGCCGTGCTTTTTACGACAAGGATGGCTCTTAGAAATGCCGAAGGACAGAAAAGCACGGGTGGAGGGAAGACACAAACATAGTCGTGCTTCCCATAATACGATCATGTTTCTTCTAAACGGGATCGCGTTTTTCCCCATCCCAAATTTAAGTGAAGGGGGTGACTTGGTCAAAAAATGGTTGGCAGAGCAAACACACCCATGTTTCTGACAGTGTTTCTCCCAGTTTTGGGGTAAAATGGCAGATTCGAGCCAAAGAAAGGGGAATCGGCTTTTGAGAGAGAAAGTAACGAAGAAGAGTCCCTATGAGCTATTTGGAGCTGATATCTCACTATTAATGCCCAGATTTCGTGTTAATGAGTCAAGATTGACAACCCATAGCGGATACACATCTCCATGGGTATGGTTGCTTTGGATTTGGTTTTCCACTCTCTCTCTCTCTCTATGGAGTAAACCTCCTTATCACTTGGGTATGGAGAACCCTAGTTTCATGTGTTACGGATCTTGCATGTAATGACTTCTGGATGCTATACTGGTTGGTTTTGATAAATTGAAGCATGATTTGTTGAATCAATGGAATCTTGATCACATTTTCTTGATTTCTGCTTTGACCTTTGATAGATATAATCTGATTAGGTAAAGAGAGCTTCTTTGATTAATAGTAGTGAATGGATTGTGCGAGTCAATCAATTCACTACGTTAAACTGGAATTTATTCCAAGTATTGGAGATATGTGTGAATTGCCATACCATTCTACTCTGGTGAAGGTTAGTTGCCTGTCGGGTATTGTATCTAAGAGGGCTTGGTCAGCTTAAGAGGTTCCAAGCTATTGTCAGATCTTTCGCGGTTTAATCAACAGTAAAACAACCAAATAAAATTACAACTTGGACCTAATTGAGGATCTAGGGGGCGCATACCTGAGTGACTCTTCTCTTGCTTTAAAATCCGATCAATTTGCTTGCTTTATTTTTGTTCTAGTTTAGAATAACTTTCACCCAATTTCGACCGCTTGATAATAGATTTTCACGGGTTAGACAATATAGCTAGGACCCGGTTGATAAAGTAAACTGAACACACTTTACTGGAATCTTCCTCAGTGGCTATACTTGACCATTTTGAAACTGTTGTGTTTTTGTGAGTCAAGTTTTTTGCGTCGTTGCCAGGGATGGCTAGGTTATTACAGAAACGTAAAATTCTGCTACTTTAGCATTTACTTTTCTGCATTTTCTCTCTTCTCCCTATATGCCTTCACGGGTTGTGTTTGTAGTATGTGTGCAGGTAATGCACGACCGTAGCCAGTCGGAAGATCTACTACCTCTGGACCCCAAAATTGATCGAAGTTGTTGCCAGCTCAAAGTACTCAATTCGAGACTGGCTACAGACGAGGACTTCTACAAGGTCGTTGTCACTGACGGATCAGATAGCGAAGAAGAAGAGATGGCTAACCTCAATATTGCATTTGGGGACGTGAATGACCCGCTTGAAGAGCGAACTATGGGGTACTACTCGACCTCTGCTTCCCCTTCACCCTGGAGGCACAAACCAAGACATAGCTAGAAAATCATGCTCCAGGATCGATCACCACATGGACCTCCATAGCCAACAAATTTTTGAACAGCTACCATCCCCCATCAAAGACAACAAATATGCATAAGGAAATAACTCACGTTGCACAAGATGAAGATGAAACCCACCGAGATGCATGGGAGAGATACTCCACTCTTTTCCTAAAGTGCCCCAATCACGGTTTCAGCGAATTCTTCAAAGTGAGCAATTTCTATTGGGCTCTCTCTCCCGAAGACCAACAGCTGATTGATTCGGTCTGCAACGAGAATATGTGTTACACCTGGTACGATATTTTCTTGGAATTTTCGAATGGCCCTCACTCAGTCGGAGTAATTAATCTTAACTGATCGTGTTTTAGGATTATGACATTATAATTGTTGGGTGTAATGGTTATAAACGCCAATTAAATAATGATAATGAGGCTAAAATAATACAAATAGGGTAACATGGGATGGAAGGTCAGGAGGCTAGGGATTTTGGTATAGGATGAGCCACTATACGTATTTTTATTCTTCTTAGTTGCCGCATGAGGGAGAGGAGAGAAGGACCGACGTACAATTGTCATAAGCTACCACTCTTATCCCTTCTTGACTATGTCTCGCCCAAAATCACTCCTTCTCAGCCACATTGCGCCACAACAAGAATAAAAAGCCGGGGATGTAGCCGAACACGATCAATAGAGTGAGATAGGGAAAGTGTTAAAGTAGTCAAAGAGTAAAGGAAATACCATATTGGTGGGAGAAGGAAAGTGCAAGTTGTTTTTAAGTTTGCTTTCCACTTTAGTTATTGGATAAAGTGGTTAGTGGGCTTTTGGAAAAAGTGTGGGCTATTTAATTTGACATATTAAATCGCACTACGCACTTAGCACTTCGAATTTGGATTTTTGGCTAATTAATTACCGGAATTATTTTAATTAATTAATCTGGATAATTATTTGATTTTGACTTTTGTGAAACGACATAACCCTTCGCCAGGGAACTGTCGTTTTCACTATAAAAAGTCTTCTGCAGCCGAACTTCTCGTCCTACGTTCATCTTCTTCTCCTCGTTTTTCCTTCTCCAAAAACAAAAACACAGAAGTCACGAAAGGTGCTGCTTTCTGACTTTGATTGGAGGGACTCCTGGGGGTGGTTTGCCTAAATCCTACCAGAAACTAAGTAGTGGGGGCAAATAAACACTCTAAGGAGAGTGATCAAAATCACGCCTTCAATCCGTTTTTCTCCATACTGTTTCCCTGACAATCTTAGAGTGTTTATTTGTGTGACAATGGATTCTGGAGTGAAGAGCACTTTGAAGGCGTATGCCTC